TGTATATTTTACAGTCCTAAATGAGACAGCTCAGATAGATGACTTTAGTGAAGATAAGCCTGACTAGGAATGAAGGCCGTTGCTAAGTGTAGACCTAAACAGTAGCCAGAGCTTACACAGCATGTAAAGTCAAACCCACTTCTCTAATTATCAGTCTCATACTTGCTGATTGCCGGTGTGATGACCCAAGTGGAGACTTCCATGTGATCCCATGAGATGGCGCTGTTTAGAACACAGGTGCACTAACTGCAAAGAGTAGTGTATACATTACCTTCAAACCACATATGTATAAAAGAAAAGTTTCCTGTTCAAGTTGTGTTTAATCCCCAAGAACTCTATGTATGTGCAAATATTTCTCAGTCTGAAAAAATTGCAAATCTGAAGTGTTTCTTGTCCTAAGCATTTTGTAAAGGGAGTCAGCATGTGTGTGCAAGGACTATATATGACTCATATATAGGAGTCAGTGGGTCTTTGGAATGTGCATTGCTTCCCAGCTTGTCTTCTGCATTTCAGCATAGGTTATTGTGGCTCCCCCCACCCTATGTTGAAATGGCTAGTTTTGTGCAAATCTGTCCGTTGGTAGTGTCACTTGTGCCTTTGTTCCATGCTTAGAAGGTATTCTTACCAGTATAAGGAAGTCTGCAGTGTTTCCCTTCCAATGCTTAGTAGTTTGTTTTTGGCATTTAAACTTCATCTGTTTAGGATTTGCTCGTGGGCACAGATAAACAAAGGGCTTTGTCCATCACCCCATCCCAGCAGTCAGATGTCCCAAGGCCATGCAGTTTAAGCTGACCTTTCTGCCTGTGATCTGAGTGCCCCTTTGCATAGCTTGCTTTCCCTATATGCTCTCTTTGGTATCTATGAGTGTCACATTTGTCCTGATTCAGACTTTTCTGTTTCTATTGGTCCTTGTTTTGCTCATCTTCCTGAGTGGTATTTCAGGTGCCTGTCAACCAGCTACTCTTTTAACTCTCACTATCTGGGACTTGGGTTTAGATTAGTGCTAGAGTATGGGCTTGGCATATACAAGGTACTTAGTCCTTAACACCTGACCCAATTAACTAATGAAAACAATCACCTGATTTTGGTATATAAATTCTTCTATTTTTATTATCTTCATTTGTTTGCCAAAAGAATTTATGAAAGTAAAAATAGTTTGTCAGCTGAATTTTTACGGTTTGCAAATAAGATTCCATTGACTCCTGTTGAATTTTTGTGCTCTTTCAGCTGTGTTGCTCACTGCCTTTCAGTGTCTTGGAGAGGAGCAGCAGCAGTAGATGTCTGTGCATAGCCTGGTCACATTACAGAAGGCTCATTCCTGTGTACTTCTGGGACTGGGTGTTGAATTTCATTAAGTACCTTTCAACCTGGATAATATTTTCAAATTGTGTCTGTGTCTTTGTGTAGGTATGTGTACAAGAGCACAGGTGCCCATGGAGGCCCGAAAAACCTCAACTCCCCTGGAGCCATAGTTGCAGGTGGTTGTGAGCCACCATGTGGGTGCCGAGAAATGGATGGGGTCCTGCACGAAAGCAGCATGAGCTCTAGACCCCTGTGCCATCTCTCCAGCCCCCCAATTACATTTTTAATGCTTTGTTTTACTTTCGTTATTAATGAATGAATTTTATATGTACAGTTCTCAATATTAAATTTTCACTGAACATTTGGTTATGGTGTTTGCTTTTGATATTTGAATTATATAAATTTCTTAACATTTGCAAACAGATTTAATATTAGACTATATATTCAAATATCTTTTGTTAAAATTGTACATGAGCTGCCCTTTGATATACTAGTTTTTATTTTTCATGTTGTTTTGTAAGTTTTTTTTTTGTTTTTTTAATCATTTTACTCACCCTTGCCTTCCTTTATTATTATGGGCTAGAAGAGAATCTGGTCACTGAAAGTATGGCAAAGTCAACTTCTAATCATGTCCCTAGTTGGTATTTTTTTCTAAGGAAGCATTCCCCCACCTGCCTTTTCATCTTAATTGACCAAATAACCAAATTTTGGTCACTTACATTTCTTTGAAAACTATATCATCTATAGTTTGTGAAAATCTGAAAAAAGTAGCAGCTCAGGACTGTGGCAGTTTCCTTTGTGTGTGCGTGTCCTCTAGGTAGGTCTGGTTTGTATTAGATAATGATAAGTCTCTATTTTTTTTTTGCCCAAGAAAGAACTTCCAGGTTAATACTCTCAGGCTGTTTTTCTGACTCAATGGCCTTAACCTTGCCTTACTTGGATCTTTGTGATGTTCCAGTTTCATCATTGTCTGTTTCAGCTGCATGATCAACAAAGTCTGTAACACTTCTGGATATCTACCTGAGCCATCTTTGTGGTCTCTTTATGGTCAGTCACAGCACCCATTACAGCTATTTAGTTTAGGATCCAGGTCTATTAGTTAAGTCTCTAGATCCGTGTTCTGTTTTCCATATATATTTTCCATGTGTACTCAGAGAAGTGAACTAATGTCTTCAACTTCTTTTTTTTTTTTTTTTATTTGCCAGCATTTCATTTCTTTCTCATGGCTTTTGTATTGTAACTGTCTAGGTCTTGATAATTTCGAATGACTTTTTATTTTCTGGCGCCAGGTGCTCTGGGTTCCAAATCCTGTACACTGAGACCTGGATCCTGCTCATGTTCATGTTTCTAAATTGTTGTCTTTTTAAATTGGCAACATTATACTGTATGAATATTCTGCATTTAATTTTTAAAGTATTTTTATTCTTTTAGAATTTCATATATTGTATTTTTATCACATTCACCTGTCCTCCGTCTCCCCTCCACTTTCAGTCTTGCTGCTTGTTTTTCATCTTGTCACATTTGATGTGCTTTCCATTTTTTACTGATTCTTTTGTTTTTGTCTTTCAATATATATGGTGTTTTGTGAGATAATTAAGAAACTTTTTGTTCTAAGTTATCTATAAATTTATATAATCTCTAAGCTGGCTTTTAAAAGCTGTTGATTGAGAATTTGGTAGAATCAGTTTTTGGCCTTCATTTCCTCCCCGACACATGCTTATTTGTTAATTATAGCATCTCCATTGTCAGAGTTAATGTTCTGTTCTGTTCTCTAATCGTAATCTCCATGTTTCTATCTGTCTTAGTCCTTCAGTTAATTGTATGACAGAAAGAGGAAATCTGTAAAAGTGAGCTGTCTTCTAAACAGAACGTCACCATCTTCCCCATGCTGAATGTGGGGCTGGGCAGAACCCCTTCTGCTGGTCTCATCTGGGCTTTCTCCAGCAAAAGGACAAAAATTCATCTTTTGAATCAACAAGGTCCTTAAAAGCTGTTTTGTTTTTCTTCTGTCCTGTTTTATTTTGCCCTTTTATTTTATCTTATTTATTACAATGTTGTATTACTTTCTTTTCTTACATGGGATATTCCTGGGAAGAGTCTGAGGCCATTCTGATTTGTCTCATAATTTGATTTTTTTGTTGTTGTTTTGGGGCAGAGTCTTACTTTATACCCTAGGCTAGCCTCAAACTTGCTATGGAGGCATTGTAGTACAACTTGCCCTTGAATTGCAACTCCTGATGCCACTTGAGTGCTGGGATTACAAGTGAATGTCCCCATGCACTCTGTTTATCTAGATTGGCAAAGGGCTCTTTGAAGACCACTAGTTTATAGGGAAGCAAAATATTGACATTTTCTGTTGGTTTTCTTCTTTTAGTGAATACAAATAGAAGAAACATATAGCATTTTGTTTGAAATAAACCAATAATAAAGATTAAACTAAATGAAGTTCAGATGGACATAAATACTAAAATGTTGGAGTAAATATAGCTGGTGAACACAGGATTTACTATTATTTTCTGTGGTTCAGAGGTTTACAATGTTTCATTTATTTATTTTTAAATTTTTATTTATTTTTTAAAGATTTATGTATTTATTATATACACAAGGTTTTACCCACAGGCCAGAAGAGGGCACCAGATCACATTATGGATGGTTGTGAGCCACCATGTGGTTGCTGGGAATTGAACTTAGGTCCTCTGACAGAGCAGCCAGTGCTCTTAACTGCTGAGCTATCTCTCCAGACCAATATTTATTTATATATTTTTTAAATACCATAAATGTACCATTGCCTTCCTGATGACAGTGTGTGTCCTTGTTCTCTAGTAACCTCACACACTCTCACACACTCACTAGTGCAATTTCCTGAGTTCTGAGTACAAGTACTTTTTTAAAAGTATTCTAAAGTCCTTGATGGAGGATTATGAGAGTCTATTGTTAGAGTTTGCAGAGTAAAGGGAATAATGCAAAAATTAAATTGCTTGTTTGACCCAAGTCTACCCAAGGATTTGTATTTTTGTTCATTGAGACTCCTTTGAACACTAATGCTTCAAACCTACAGGCTAAAAATAGCATCATATGCTGCTTAGCAAGCCTGTCTGAAAGGACCGTGTGTTGTTAGGTTGCCCCATCTGTGGTGAAGTTGATCAAATCTTTTCCTTTAGTTCCTTTACTTTATAATTGAGCTTTTAAAAATATACTATGATTTAAAAAATGTTTTGTGTCTTCAAAAAATGTTTAAAATGTGACCTAATTCAGAACATTGGAAATGTCTTTAAAACGAAATGTTAAAATGTTGCAACCTAAAGAACTCATGTCACAAGTACCTTATTGGGGTGATGTGCCTTTGATTTACCTTGGGACACTTTAGAAGGAAACTTTGTGTTGGTAACAATCTTTGAAGAGCTTGGAAATAAAATCTTTGCCTAATTCATTGTTAGCCATGGAAAAAAAAAAAAAAAGGCATCATAGAGTTGAGGGCTTGAACACTTTCCTTCCTTCCTTCCTTCCTTCCTTCCTTCCTTCCCTCCCTCTCTTTCCCCACCTTCCCCCCTATTCTTCCCTACTTCCCTTCCCTTGTTCCTTCCATAAATATAAATGATAATAAAAGAGGAACAAATGGCCCTTCCTTTTCTTGTTTTTACTCCTTTTTAGTTGGCATTACTGAGAAATTTCTAACTTTGTGTTTCCTCTGTGTTCAGGTATATGTCCCGAGTCCACGGTATGCATCCCAAAGAGACCACCCGTCAGCTGAGCTTAGCTGTGAAAGATGGTCTTATTGTCGAAACTCTAACAGTGGGCTGCAAAGGCTCAAAAGCTGGTATTGAGCAAGAAGGATATTGGTTACCAGGAGATGAGATTGTAAGTATATTTTTTTGATAAATTCAGAAATTTGACTGAATTCTTTAAAAGTTTTAAAAACTTTTGGGTTTTTAAAAATATTAATGTAACATAGAAATTCATTGTCAGAAATTTAACAATTCTTAACATTTTTATTAACATTAAGGCTCTATATGGATAGCTTCCTTGTGATTCCTTAGGAGAAAACTAACTTTTACAAAAATCTTGCTATTCTATTATCTTTCATCTAAAAAAATAAAACTAAATGTGCATATAAATCATGGCACTTTTGGTGCTTTCTTCAACTAATACTACTTTTTAAAAATGCTTCAGTGCATGACAGTGTTGATAGTGACTAGACAGATGGAAAGGGACACACTGCCTGTTCATAAAAGCTCACTTGGATGGCATTAGACTGAGCTAGGGCTAGCATGACTAGCCATGGTCCATACTGACCAATGACTTCAGTCAGGCTTTGGGCAGGCCCTGAGCATAAGTCAATCCGGACAAATAGAAAGTTCCTTCTTTCTGTACATTCCTTTAGCTCCAGCTGTGACTCCTCTTCAGGACCAGTGCTTTACACAACTGAATCTTTTCAGGACATGGCTTTATGTGGAGAGGCACATAGAAAAGCACTTTCTTCTTGCACAAAGATTGCTTTCATGTGTAGCATTGCTATCTCCCCATCATGTTTTTTTGATATTTTAGCCTACTAATTGGAAATGTTATTATAATAAATGTCTTTTAAGATAATAGGTTTCAAATGTATGTTTGGGAGATTTAATAATTTCTCTAAAATCTAAGATTTTGAAAATCTCACAAAATCTTAAAAATTAGTTCATTGTTGGAAAATTTCCTGAAAGCTTTTCCTTCTTCATCTCATATTTCTGGTGACATGACAGACAAGCCCATGGATTCAGTGAGCTTGAAAAACCAACACCAAGTGTCTCTGATAATTCTAAATGTAGGAAGTTGTTAGGCCTAACAGTTTTGTCATTTTTTTTTAATATGCCAAAGCCTCAGAAAACATGGGGAAAAATCATTCTTTGTATCAATGTAATTTAGTTTATTCCCTGGAAATATTCCTGAGAAGAAATGTGACTGTTGCCAACACAGCAGCTTCCTTTCAAGTCCCTGCTGCAGCTGGAAGCTTTGTTGTTGCATTAGCCAAGATGGAGTGAGCCAAGATAGAGCAAAGGTAGAGGGCCCAGTGTGACTCAGGACAGTCCAGACAAGAGTCCCAAGCACTTAGACACTTAGAGCTTCAGAAGACATGCAGAGAATGTGAACATGGGAGTGAAACTGATGACTTGGCATTGTTGGTCATGTGTATATATTTCTTAGAGTATAGGGTTTATTTGCTCCTTTAAGATTTGTGACTTTTTTTATATACTTTGTTTTTCCTTAGACTAAAATTTCTTTAATTCATCAAGCAGTAAATTAGCTTATTATATGTTTCCTACAACATTAGGTTTTGTGTTTATTTTTATTTTTACATGTTTTTTGCACATACTTATAGTCTTCTTCCCTTTTTACTAGATGAAATCTTAAAGTATATTAAACAGCAATTATGCAGGTTTAATGCTAATTAGTTATTAACAGCAGTTTTATACCAAATTTGCATATGTAACATAACTGAGTATATCAAACTTACGCTTAGGTTATAAAATACGTAAATATAAAGACTCAAGGATGAAGTAGTATATGGAATGAGATAATGTCCATCTTAAGTATTCCTTGCTTACATGTCTGGAATTGTTTAAAATTCCATTGATTCAGTCCTCAGCTGCAATGTGGGCATATTAATATTTATTTCATTTAATCAAAGATTGTCTTAGACACTGTTCTATTTCTGTGAAGAGATACCATGAGCAAGACAATTCTTATAAAACAAAATATTTAATTGGGGACTTGTTTATATTTTCAGAGGATTAGTCCAATATCATCATGGCAGGGAGTGTGGTTACAGGGGCTGAGTACTTACATTCTGCCCCACAGGCAGGCAGACAGAGAGAGACACTGGACCTGATGGGGGCTTGTGAAACCGCAAAGCCCACCCCCAGTGCCATATCTCTAACAACGCCACACCTTCCTAAACATTTTACCATGGGAACCAAGCATGCAAATATATGAGCCTGTGGTGGTCTTTCTCATTTTAACCACCACAAGGATTAAATGAAAATATGTCCATGAAACAGCCTACACAGATACACGCAAAGCAAATGTTTTGATCAGTAAATAAGGATGCTTAGTAATGATCTCTTGTGCAGAAAAAGCAATAGAGTTAATAATAATGTATCTATTTCAAAACAGCTAAAAGAATGGAGTTTAAATGGATGTGTTAATTAGCCTGGTTTGGTCATTCCAACATACACACGTAACAAAGCAACACAGTCTACCCTATAAAGTTATAGTTATTACTTACAAATTAAAATAAGTATTGGTAGACAGTATAGTAAAAGCCATCAGTTTTTTACTAGCCATATAAGCAGTCTTTTTATACTACTTTGTAGCCAGTATTCTCCAATATAAATCCTGTGAAGAGTTTGCCCCTGAAAAAGTAGATCTTGTTGAAGGTATAAAATAATGAAGCTGACTGACTGAGGCTCTCACTACCTGGGTTGATGCACCACTCATAGTGAGTGTCCTCTTGACCTATGACAGCCACAAGCTCATGTGATTAACTGTGTCACCTGCAGCACAATAAGAGATTCTGCACTGCCTAGGCTTTGTATATTTTTTATTAATTCTTTTACCTGTGCAGGAGGCATGTCTAACGTGTGAACGGACAAGTTAGTAAATGTCCTCACACTGCAGACACTGTTATTTAAACGTCCTCTCCTGAATATAAGAGTATATCTCAAGAAAGGTTGATAGAAGGAAGAGTCACCTTTCCTAGTTTGCATAAAGTTCAAACTTCATGCCAGGGCTCTGCACACCAGCATTTTGGACTTTGTAGTTTCACCACTTAGTGATTTCAATTGCTTTGATGCCCTAGAAGCTTGAGTTTTAAGAGTGTAGAATGTATGTCGAACACTTTATTCAGGGTTGTGATGGAAGAGGTTCTGTTATTTAAGAATAGGTGATGATGCTCTTCTTCTTGTGCCTCTCAAGAGGCTTCATCTCCTGAGTTACTTTATGATGCAGAGGTTGGATGATGCTTGTCTTCACTCCCATCATTGTGTAGAGGAAGAGAAGGCAATGAGTATAGTTTTCCTTTCTCCCACACAGCTATGGTAAAAAGAGCTTAAAAGTCAATTTGCTGGTATTTCATTATAATAATACACTCCTACTACCTACTACCTCTTTTTCTCTAATGTTTAATTTTAGAATTTGAAGCAATCAAAATACATGCATCTCTGGGCCATTATTTTTATTAAGTACAGCAACCATGTCCTAAAAGCCCACTGTCCTGTGTCAAACTGTATCTGTCTTTAATACAAAGGCAGAGGCCCCATGTATTACTAAAATTCCTCCTTGTAGTCAGAAATATTCTCAGACACTTTTCAACCGTGATCTCATTTACAATTAGCAGCCCACTGTGTAAGTGCCAATTCTGTTGGAGAAACTATGGTAAAACTGTTTAGTGTCTAAGCATCTTCATGGTGATTCTCATACGTATATATGAGATGGTGGAATGACACAGCAATCATTCACAAGACTACTCCTTTTTCTAAATGGCCTGCTTACACACTAGTCAATAAATAGGTATGCACACCAATCTGTTTTCTAAATGACATACACACAATACTCAGGAATTTTTGTGGTCATCTTAGACTGGTAATAGCATTAACACTAACTGACAGGCTCTAAATAGTTCCTATAAACATGGTTTTCTTAGCTTGTGAGGTTCTGTTGGTGAGAGGATATGGAGTGCCTTTTTTTTTTTTGTTTTTGTTTTTGTTTTTCGAGACAGGATTTTTCTGTGGCTTTGGAGGCTGTCCTGGAACTAGCTCTTGTAGACCAGGCTGGTCTCGAACTCACAGAGATCCGCCTGCCTCTGCCTCCCGAGTGCTGGGATTAAAGGCGTGCACCACCAACGCCCGGCTGGAGTGCCTTTTTGCTATCTGAACATTTAATACTTTGTTATATCAATACCTTTTCTGAGTTTTTAAAGCTATAACAGAGTGCTGATTTGGCACTTTTGCAAGAGTGGCCCATTATTGCAAAAATAATTAATGAATGCATGCATACACATGCACACACACATGCTTGAATGTGCACATATGTGCATACATGTTCATGTTCACAGAGAGTTTCATCATCCACTTAGTGTAAAGTACACATGATGGGAGGCCGTGTTTACTCCTTATTGCTAGTGTTTCATTCCCTTTATTCTTAAATTCTGAAAACTGTATTTCAAGTGTTATCACTTGCTAGAGGACTGAAGGATTTACTTTGTAATCAGTATCAGATAATGTTTTACACATTAGCCTTATGGTTTATAAAGTGCTCACCAAGGATAGGAAGGTATTTCTACTTATTGTAATGTAGGAAGCAGGTAGCCTTGAGTTTTGGATCATTTGCAGATAAAATATTTACAATATGTATCTTGAAACCAGGTGACTATTATGAACTATTATTGATGATTTCCAACATTATTGACAGTTCCCAGGACAAGGCTACACTTTTATTTGTAAGTGATTTTGATCTGACAGTAAACATTTTGGTTTCCAGTGTTGACTATGGCTTAAATTTTTTTTATAAAAATGATGTTATTTGTAAAACTACTTTTTCCTTTTATAGACCTGCTGAATTTGGACTCAGGGCCTCATTTCTTTTCATAGTTCATGTCAGTATGGGAATAGGGAAATCTACTGAGAGCCTCAATACAGGTTTATGTAGAATCCTTCTACTCTCCTGTTTTGCTGTGAGTCCAGACTAATTACAGACATGACTAGACTTTTTACTCTGAGCACTTCCAAGTGAATCATCCCTAATATCAGGCTGCTCTTAGACCTGAGAACATCATTTTAAATAAAAAGGGGCAGTCTACATTTTTCTCTCTGTATTTTTGATACTTTTTTTTTTTTTTTAAAAAAAGCATAATTAAGGAAGTATGTATTTTGTGGTTTCCTAAAGAGAGGAGCATATTACATTAGCAGTGAATGGGCTGAAATCCCAGACCCCAGTAGGGCAAGATTGATACCTTGAGGGAGTGCCATCATTTGTCATTTCCAACTCAGATGCCAGCTTGTAAGAAGTGTTGGTTTCTATTCATCTTGAAATTTAGCTAAGTTCACACCTCTTATGTAAAACATGGGATTATTAGAATTGATGATCTCATTCCTCATACACCTTACTGCCTGAAGCCACAGCAAGAGGGTCTTCCCTGCTTCATTCTTGAGAAAACATGTTGAGAGGCTTAGAAGTCATGCTAAACTGGACATTCCAGTACATTGAATACATGTAGCATGTGAATTTTAAGAGTTAGTTTTGTTTTAAAGCAATTTAGATTTTTTTCCATTTTTGTTATAGTTATATTTGTCACTATTTCTTTTTTGTTTTGTTTTTCGAGACAGTTTCTCTGTGTAATCCTTTTTGGCTGTCCTGGAATTTGCTCTGTAGACCAGGCTGGCCTTTGAACTCACAGAGATTCACCTGCCTCTGCCTCCTGAGTTCTGGATTAAAGGCCCACGACACTACTGCCCAGCTAGTTCATTGTTTTAAATACCTTAAACACAAATTTCAATGTAAGTTTGATGCTGCTGGTGTTTAAAAATTGAAATGCTTTATTATCTTTATGTCATTTATGTATATTTTATATGTACGTATGTATATTTTTTCTTTGAATGTTTATTCCCAACCTTAGTTACAAAAAGAAGTAAATAATCCTTTATTTACTAACTAGTCAGAAAATGCTGATGTCTGTAAGTTAACTAGAAACCAGTTACACTAGAGTTCTCTGTGATTTTTCACCATGATTTACTGAGAAGTGACTCTGCCAAGAGTCTATTTGCTCAGTATTTTGGATGGTTCTATCCTTCTCATTGTGTGTTGGTGGATTGTGTGCATGAGTTCCTGCTGTTTGGCCCTTTCTCCATCTCTGAATTCTGTTTCACTGGGCAATATTGTAATTTATTTTCAATATTTAAAATCACTAAAATATGTAGCCATCATATCCTCCCATGTAAATAATTAAATGAATTGTTAGCAGAATTAAATTAAACCTAGAAAGGTAGAGAACTCACTTTACAGTGTATCTGCATTAAAGCACACTGTCATACACATGTTTTGTAGTGTAATGTGTGTCTGCTCATGAAGACACAGCCAGTTAATAAGTTAAAATTGCGCTTTGATTATTGAAGAGTCTTGATCAGAATTTAGAATACCCCCTTTCCAACAGCTCTTCAAACACCTCCCTTGGTGCATAGCCAAATATCTTTCTGAGCTTCCTTTTATCCCTGAATCTGAGCTAATTTTATTTCCTGTTCTACCTTGCTCAGAGAAATGTTGTAAAAACCAGATATGATAATGAATTCTAAAGTGCTTGGAGAGAAATGCACTTATGTTATTAGAAGCATGCTAATCATCTGTGGCTTAGTTCCTGTTTCATGCAATAGATAGATAATAACACTGGCTAACATCTCCTGAGTGCTCAGGCTGTGCCAGACACTCTTCTGTGCACTATGTACATATGAACTCATATGATTCTTACCAAGACACAGGAAACTAGGCACTGCCATTCTGTTCATTTTACAGATAGAAAGTGACACACAGAGAAGCTAAGTATTCTGCCCAAGATCATATAGCCATGAGTGTCAGGGCTAGAATTTGAACCAGTTTGGCTCCGGTGTTTTCCCTAAACAGTATATCTGGCTGCTGCTAGATGGAGATTTTTTTTGCTTCGAGGATCTGGGGGCAGCCTGTATAATTTCATGCCTTGTTGAAGTATTGAGTTTACCACTCTCACATTCTTTATTCTGTTTGTTAAAAAGTTCAGTGTAATCTAGTTTCAGATCAATCAGACATGATTTGTGGTATTGTACAGGTGTGGGTGGCGCAGATGTTATTTGCTAGTAAGATGCTTTCCTGACGAGAGTGTGCATTTCATGGCACATGAATTCCCCAAGAGATTTCTTGTCTATCCATAACCTTCTTCTACAGTCAGTGACAACTCTTAATTATGCATGCTACTATCTTTTCATTAATGATGAGCTCATTAATAGCCTTTTCTGTTAATATTGTCTGCCATGTAGTATGGATTGTACTTCAAGTAATAAACCATGTGTAAAATCCCTTTAGCCCTGTGTATTACCTGATATGAGCAAAATTATGGTAGAGAGACCAAGATTATCTTGTTTTTATTTTGAAAGGCCTACAGTACGCAGCCTTTCTCCAGGACAGCAGCCCCAGACAAGGTGAACTAATTTTGCACTATGTTATTTTACTTTAATTCTGCTTTTTTTTTTTTTTTTTTTTTTTTTTTTTTTTTTTTTGTAATAGAGTTCTATCTCGTTTAGGTTAGCTCAGTTAACTCTTGCTAGACTTGTTTGTGAAAGCTGTGCTATCATTCCACTGCTTCCAGCTTTGAACTTGTGTTAGTGGGCTTGCTCTTTAAAAGCATTCTTGTTCTGAAGTGGCGTTTGGCACATGCTGCTAACGAGGCTGTCTCCAGAGCAGCTGATGACTTCTGGTGCAAATGTAAACTCGACTTATTAGCATATGTGACAGATATGTGTTGGCCTCACTGTTTCAATGACTGTTTACTAAAGACAAACTGGAGGCACCCTGGCCAAGGTCCACACGCCTCATTTACACCTCAGAACAATGTAATAGATTGAGTCAGTGACTCCTGTGTGTTTTGTGTGTTATGAATGGCTCTTGCCATGATAAAAATAACAAGAAGCATTGTCTTCTTTAACCCATGTGATGATGGAATTAGTGATGTCCATATGAAAAACATACCCACACCAGGTGTGGAGGCACATGCCTGGAGTTCCAGCACTTGAGAGGCAGATGTCTGTGGGTTCCAGCCTGGTCTACACAGTGAGTTCCAGGCCTGCTAGTGAGGTCCTGTCTTATAAAAGAAAAAGAAGTAGTAGTTAAAATTAATAACATAAAATAAATTATTCTTAAAAGTTTCTGCACATTGCTTCATTTAAGTTATGGTTGCTTTCCTGCAATTAGTTTTAGAAGTGTAGAGTTAGGCACCCAACATAGATACATTTTAATGTCCATTTCTTAAGTAGGTAAAAAGCGTGCAGTGGGAGGAAGAAGGCTGTGAAGTGGAAAGGCTGGAACTGTGTTCTTCTGTCCTTTTAGCCATCCCAGGAACCACCATTTGACTCATCATGTGAAGATGAATTAAAATAAAAAATTAAATCATGAAGGATGGCAGTTTCTATTATTAATTAGTCATTATATATAAATCATTAATATGTATGTCTAAATAGCCATGAGAATATTTTGTTGTAAGCTTAGAATGAGTTCTTTAATTAAAAAATAGACTAGAATTCTGAAGCTTATTTATATTAAAATTTTTGAATATGAAAATAAAATAACTAATATACAATGTAGTTATGAGCTGTCTATCTGAAATATAACTTTCATACATGTCTTTGATGTACCTCAGTCAAATTTGGTAGTGTAGATGTCATTTTCTGAGTTTTATATAAAATTAGTGTTTCTTGATTGCAGTCCAATCAGATGAGTTTGAAGGGAATGTATGTACAGCTGCAGTGAGGAACTAAAAATGCTCCTATTTTACCTTATTATTCTGGTCAGTGAAGGCCCTCAATTTCTTACTGAAACATAAACCCAGAAAATTTAGATTTCTACAGAACTGACTACTCTGCCCTCGCCATGGTTCTGGATGTGGGTTGGAGGGCATACACTTTGAACGTAAATGAGTGGATGGTGGCATTCAAATGTGGTTGCAGTTCTCAATGGTTATTGAGTCCAACTTGAACCCCGTTTGCTGGGCTAATATTAGCATCTGAGAAAATGAGGAAGCCACTGAGCCTTGGAAAGAGTACAGATATACATAAAAATAATTGATAGCTGAATCCAAATGTGGAATGTCAGGATCCCCACCAGAAGTAGCCTTGGTATTGTTAAAGTTTTCCCTTTGTTCATTTGTCTTCCACATCTCCAAAAGAAGGACAAAAGTTAACCTATACTGTGAAGTATATTTTAGAAAAGTGATGAGTAACATTTATAAAGAGTGAGTTCTAAGCTAAAAGCAAATCTGAGTCTTCCTGTCTATACTCGCCCATCTGTCCTGGCTGTTCAGAGACCTCACTAATGAGACCTGTTGAAGAATTCTTGTGCAACTCTTTGTGTTCTTTGATTGCTAGGACTAGCCACATCAGTGAATGAGCCTGCTTCCTTTTGTTTCATGTGGTAATCAATCTCTTTCAGATAGTGTGACTAAACCTTTAGTTTTACATTTTCAATTTATTTTTCTAAATTCAACAGACCCTGAATATTTGGCGACCTGTCGGGACATGGGCATTTTGATTAGTTGTTATTTTCAGTTAAGCATCAAATACTGTGAGCTCCACCACTCGAGACTGTGCACCCCGTCCCCGCAGTATGTCAGCACTCAGTTTGTAATCTGTTAAAAGCAGGACAAAACACAGGTTTGTCTGTTTGAAATATTAAGCTGCCAGTTGGTGTGGGGCACTCAGCTTACAAAAGACACCATTCCTTAATTTATAGTTTTAAATGAAAAGATAATATTAGACTTGGGATTGGCTCTGGGCATAATTCACTTTGGAGCTGTTTGCTATCAGATCACCTTAAGGTATTTCTGAGAATTGATACTGCATAGGAGAGAATCGAGTTTTAAAGAAGTAAATTTCTAGGTATTTTCTCTCTTGTTTTTAACACTTAAATGTCTTAAATTGTTTATAATGCCTAACTTGTGATGGACTTTAGTTTCAATTTTGTTGTTAGTTATTGAAGATATTGACAAAATGTCATACGAAATTATTTTGTATTTTTTGTAGGACTGGGAAACAGAAACTCATGACTGGTATTGTTTTGAATGCCATTTGCCTGGAGAGGTGTTGATATGTGACCTGTGTTTTCGTGTGTATCATTCCAAGTGTTTGTCTGATGAGTTCAGGCTTAGAGACAGCAGTAGTCACTGGCAGTGCCCAGTTTGCAGGGTGAGTACCTATGAGCTTTCATGTGCTGGTCAGAGGGTTGAAATTTATGAATATAGTGTCACCAAGATACCCCAGGTGGTCTCGCCAGGTGAATGATAAATCCTGGAGGGTGGGGGTTATCTACTGAAATGACTGACAAATGAACACAACATTCACAAATGTGCATACAGAGCACACCCCATGTTTCAGGCGCTACATTTTAGAGAATTTTAATCACATGAAAGTATCTTTTCCACATAGTTTACACCTATTTCTAGATTATATGACTGCTTTAAAGGATAGCTTTTCAAAATGTGAACTGTTTGCCACATTTCGGTCTGTTCAATAATGATTTTGTAATTTGTGGCAGAGTTGATGCTGCTGAGAACACACATGGGCAAAAGGGCACAGTGTTGGGATGTCCTTGATGAGCTTCCCATCTTATAGCCTTGGAAGTTGCTTTTGTTTCTGTCATCATGACTTAGTTTATTTTTTGCTTATATTTTATGTGGAGGGTGGAAGGATGGGACATTTGCACATTAAGAATTCTAATTACTCAAAGTAAAATGCATTGTGCGGTTGGTAAATACATATTTGCACAATATCTTTCACTCATTTTTCTCACTGAAGAATGTGCATGCTGTGAGATTGTAGTGTGTCTGTATATGAGCGATGTGTGCTGACTAAATACTGCATTCCACAGGGCACTGGTGACGGTGGTATGACCTTGTTTGGTTGCAAGCACTATTGTATAATTTGTATTACTTGGCTACTTAGCTGAAACTTCACATTGTCCCAGTTACCCATGAGTTCAGATGCTGAGTATATGTCTTAAACAATCTTTTAGTAATTTGAATGTTTAATTTCTCAATTTTATTTTTACTATTTGCTCCTTTTTAACATACAGCATTTCATCTGGGCATGATGAGTGAATGTCCAGACCCATCCAATTCCTCCATAGTAACTGAGTCTTTGGTTACCTCAGCCCACTCATAGTGTTTTCTTAGTAACTAAGGTCTTGATTACGTGAGTCCACTTCACCCAGAGGTATTTTTAGTAACTGAGGCCTTCATTTACTTGAGCCCACCTTGTCGAGTTGTCATTTGTAACTGATGGCTTTAATTAAATGAGCCCACTCTACCTCGTCCTCCCTTGGGAACAGATGTCTTGGCTACCTGAGCCCACTTAGCTTAAGAACTAGACAAAGGACAATCAGGATATCATTAGAAACCCATTTCATGGTGAGGTATTAGGAAATGTGAGATGGTATCAGTAAATAAATCTGGCTGTATCAGTGTCAAAGCTGAGGTTGTAGATTTCTTGTAGATCTTCAACAGCACATAATGTCCATACAAAATTAATGCAGGCATTGCTTCAGGTCATCACCCTGAGAGGGGGCTGGTGTCACTTGTGTTCTGTGTTCATGGATTTGAATCACACCCCTTAAAAGTAAACACGTCGCTCTTAGATTCTACTATATTCAAGTAAAAAACTTGATCTCTCAAGAGGAAGAGCTGGGCCTGGGACTGCTTGGGCTATGGAGTAACCTCAGGGTCAAACTAGAAAAGTCAGAGAGGCCCTGTCTACAAAAACAAGCAAGCAAGCAAAAAACTAAAGATGACTTCTATATATAGCTGAGTAGTAGATTTCTGACCAGCATTCCTAGCATGTATGAGAGCCTGGATTCAGTCCTTTGTACCTAATCCCTAAAAAAGGGAACAGTGAAAACACTGTAGTAGTAAAACCACAAGGGAGCAGGAGACACCAACCCACACCTTGGGTTTTTAGTTAATGTTCAATTCTTATTTCACAGTTAGGAGTTTAAGTCAAAGCATTGAGAGTTTTGAGACAGGGTGATCACAATGAGGGCTTTGCATTATTTATATAAGAGATAGAAAAGGAACCATACTTTGAAGAAAGTAGTATGAATGTATCTATTTCTGTTTCTTGTCTACAACTGTTTGCTGGTTTCTGATTAGGTTTTGTTTGTTTGTTTTTTAAAATGTCATTGTAATGGACACATGCATGGCCACTTCATCTCATTTTTTTACTTTTGTTTTTCCTTGTTCAGTTTCGATGAATTTATGATACAGAATATAATTGTACTTATGCACATGATACCATAAGTCACACCAAAAACCTAAATTATGTATGTGTAGCATAGTCTGTGAACTAGTCTCTGGCAAGATTCAAAAAGCCTGTGTTTGAGGCTGAATGTGGGGAATCTGACCTTCAGCTCTGAGGCCTTCAAAGAAATCATCATGTATAAGTTAGGTCTGTTCCGTGTTTTAAATAGTTATATTCAAGAAAAAGGTAATTGCTAATGGTTCCTTTTCTAGTATGAAAAGAAATAATAGCCTTAAAGTTGTAATGGAATTTTAAATATGTAGCAGGTAGAATTTTTGGTTAATTTAGTTTTTAAAACAAAACAAATTTCAATAAAAGCCATCTTTAATATTTAACAAATGAATGAACAGATTAAAATATTCCTAACTAAGGAATATTTTAACTAAGAACTAAGAGAGCTTGAGGTTCACAGTCTAAAACTCTAAAACTGTGATTCCAACTAGAATTGACTTTCCATTCTCTCTTTCCCGCCATAGAATGTTCGAGAATTATGTATGCAAACAGAATTTTGTACAGAACGAAACCTTATTTCCAGTCAGGCGAAAACAGCAGACAGAAATCAGTCATCACTACAAAAAATGTACTTTTAAAGCAGACATGTTCCTAATAACTGGTAGAGATCCAAAGACTTTTCTACCTTAGGTCCCAGGTGTTTTGAAGCACCACTGAGAACAGGCTGTCTCCCTGCTGTCAGCTGGGCTGTCTCACCAGTCACATTGTGTCTTGTGTCAAGGTTGAAAAGACTATGTGTTTCTTTCTCAGTCAAAGTGGTTTTAGCAGTTTTCATGCTTAACTTTAGGAATCTTACATTGCTAAGAATGTTCCTTTAGAATGGCTGCTTTCTAAAAAGTGGGTGTTACTCAGCAGACACAGTCAGTTGTTTTTAAAAAGTAGCCCATGAGATTAGAATGTAAAAAATAAATTAATAATAAAAAAAGAGCCGGGGAGTTGGTGGCGCACGCCTTTAATCCCAGCACGCGGGAGGCAGAGGCAGGAGGATCTCCGAGAGTTCGAGGCCAGCCTGGTATCCAGAGCGAGTACCAGGATAGGCTCCAAAACTACACAGAGAAACCCTGTCTCGAAGAAAAGAGAGAGAGAGAGAGAGAGAGAGAGAGAGAGAGAGAGAGAGAGAGAGAGAGAGAGAGAGAGAGAGAGAGAGAGAGAGAGAGAGAGAGAGAGAGAGAGAGCAAAGGAAAAAAAAGTAGCTCATGAGTAATCTGTCTAATTAAATTTTACTTTGAGAAAAATATCCTCACTATCTAGTTATATACTCTTGTTCCTGTGAACTTTCTAATTTAGAAAATATTTTAAAATAATTTCTAAAGCTTTGCTGTAAAGTATTCAAGTAAAATAAGAAAAGCAAATGCACAGAATTCCTTTTCTGTAGGTCAGTATTTTTCAGACTTCCTGTGTTGCACACACGTGTTTGTGTGTATGAATTACAAGCACTGCTGATACAGTCAGCTGTCTCCAATAAGCTGTGTCCTAGATGACCTATTTGTTCATCTTACAGTAGAGAAAAGCCACAGGCCCCTCACCTGATGATTCTTATCAGTGTGACAGCTTGTCAGAGATGACATTCACATCCTTGTGTTTGAAAACATGTCCAGTTTCAGCTTCTGAAAACTCTGCTATCTACCTATTTCTTCATGAAGTTGGTTTGCCATGCATTTACCAAGTAAAACTTAAAAACATATATCCTTTTTTAAAACCCTTTTGAAGTTTTTATTTCTATAAAGGAAGTATCTTTAAAACACAACATAGTTCATGGTACTTTCCTGTTGTTTGTTTTTTTTTCAATTCAAAGCATTTATTTCTATGTCATATTCCTTCATGTTTTTAGAAAGAGATTGACTGTGATCATTAACCATTGTAACCAAGCCAATTTAAATGAAAACAAACATTTATAAACAATATTTGTGAATTTGGGTGTCATTCTGACCAAACTGCTTCCTGCTGTTTGGGGGGTTCTGTCAGTCCTATGGGGATCTTAAGAAAACCCAAAACCTTGCCCAAATCCTGGCTGTAGTAGTCTGCAAGGCTGCATCACAAGGTTGCACCATCCAATCTGTCTTGGATATTGTATCACCTAGGCTGCTGCTTCATGGGGTCTTGTTTGATCAAACCATATTAGTCTGGAAAGAATCTCATGGTACTTTTCAAAAAGCATTTGTGTGTGTTGTGTGTGTATACATTATTCTGTCTGATCACTTTCGGTAGGATGAGTTCACTGACTACAATTCTTAAATGTGACAGGTATAGACATTTATATTTATATTATTTGTTATAACAACTTACCCTCCTAGAGTATACCCATTTACATCACTGCACATGGCAGCAATTTCCATTGACCATTTGTTTTTTGTCAGATATCTCATTTTTCTTCACTTTATTTTATAGTTTCCAAATTGTAAAGTCATTTTCCTCTTTGGTGTCATAGTTTGTGGTAGACAAGCACGAGCCTACATGCATTCGTGCGTATGTTTGTGTGTGTGTGTGTGTGTGTGTGTGTGTGTGTGTGTGTGTGTCTGTGAACTGCATTCTTGTTAGCCTATAAGCTTTTGAGAGAGAAATCACAGGGCTGTTGGAATGATACCTATAAACATTATTCTTGAACTAAAGAGAACTGGGAATCATTGGACTAAAATCAGAAACTGTGGTTACCATCAAAATCAACTTTCTAATCTTTTTCCTTTTAATGTATGGAAAAAAATATGATAGTTAGATATACCGAAAGGAACTTTTGAGATTGTTTTAGTATACAGGCAAGGTGGTCTGTCATTAAAAACTCCACAACTGCCTGCAACAGTGGAACCATACTGCATCTTGGCATAGTGTTCCCTGGTATAATGGTCTCTGGTGCTGCCCAGTGTGAGCCTCCAGCCACATGTGGC